ATGGTGCTGTTCGCGTGCTTTAATTTGGGCAAGACTCGTAGACTTCCCTCCGTTGAGCGTGGGTGTGAGTGTGTCTGTGTGCTGTTCGCCTTCATTTCCAACCTACTGTAGCACCACGAAGCACTACATTCTAAAACCCGAAATCCCTAAACCCCTAAACCCGAAACCCGACACCCTGGGGCCTGGAAGTTGTCATGCGACTTCGGGGCATGTCGCCCGCAGTCTCCGCTGCCCTGAAACCGAGGGCCGAGAAGCAGAAAGCTCAGAAGACTTAGTTTCTATAGGGTTTGGGGTTCAGGGCTTGATTTGGGGGTTCAGCGTGCAAGGTCTGTTGATTGGTAGTTTATGGTTCCCGGTTTAGGACGTATATTCTCGTAAGGCAAGCAGGCTTGGCTCTCCCCCCTTTCCCGCCGGAGGCCTTCTCAAGAGGTGCGCTGGGCTCTGAGACAAGTCTCGTGCTACTTACGTACGTCTCCGATGCTCTCTCGCGCCCTCTCTTTGACTCGGGCTCTACCGCAGGACATGGTCTTCAAACTTTGCTCCCTCAGCCCGGAGGGCAACCCGGCAGACTTCAACCCTGCTGGAGAGCCCAGAAACGGCGCAAAGGTGTGGCCTTAACCTTGGCCCACAAGACTTGAAGCTTGTTCCGATCCCTGCTCTCCCACGAGGCAGGCAAGGCTCCACATGCTCAGCCCGCTTCGGGCTTTTAGGGCCTCTCCCCTCCACCGTGGAGCTTGCTTTCCATGTAACTTCAGGCCCCCAGCCCTGCCCACGAAATCAGGTTCCCCAGCCCGCGGCGACAGAGGCGCCCCGAGGGCTTTTTTATGATCGGGATCATATGAGCTACCGCAAAAGTTAACCAGATTGTTAAGAACTTAGGGACGCCCGCCGCCCCCCCAAAGCCAGCTCCAGGCTCAGCCGCCCCAGCCCAAGCCATAGCCTAGGCTCCAAGCCGCACAAAGCCAGCCCAGCTCCAGTCTCAACCAAATCCAGCCCCATTAGGGTGCATAGGGTGCATAGGGTGTAGGGATTTTTCCCTAAAGGGTTTAGGGTGTAGGGTGCACAGAAGTTTTGCCAGAAGGCTTGGGGTTTAGGGTTTGGGTGGGTTTGGGCTTTTGAGTTTTGGGTCTAGTCTTTCACGGAAGTCCAGGCCGGGCAGTCAAGAAGCACACTTCTTTGCGCCAAAAGCAACTGTGAGAAAAGCAAGTGTGAGTGTAAAAGCCGTCTCCCTTGTGGACGAACAGCCGCGCAACACAGGGTGTGTTCCCACGCGTCAGCAGTGCTCCAAGAACAGCCAGTTAAGACTTATAGGGCTAAGGGATGATGGTTTAGGCTTTTTTCCCACAGGCGTTGAGGCGTAGAGTTTAGAGTCTGGTCAGCTTGGGCACAGACCCAACATAACAAGCTCGTTCGAGCTCGCTATGTCGGGTATTGTGAGACGAGAATTCTGGATTGCAATTGTGACACAGCATCGGAATCTGGAAACTCGATTGCAGTCCATCTCCGGCACCTCTTGAGCCAGAGGTGGCACTGTCGAATTTAATCAATCATGCCGCGTCTAGGAGCAGCCAGGGTTTGAGGCTCTTCGTGCGCTCACAGTCCAGGCTTAAAGATTCGATCAGGAAGGCTGCGAGCCCATAGACGCTGACGGGGGCAAGTTCATTGCACAGAGCGCCAGCTTTCTGGGCAGGCAATACCGACTAAGAACTGAAACAAGGTCAGCTCTGGCACATTCCCTATATTCACCATGCAACTAAGGGTATGCTCATATCAAACTGCAGCATGATCGTGCTTCGGAACTTGAACACAGCATCCGAACTGAGGAATCGGCTTTCCGCTCCTCTCCGGACTCCCCTATTGCACTTCCACGATCAGCCTGTGAATGCTCGTCTGGTTCATAGTCCAGGTCTAGCTGTTCCACTAGAAACGCGGCCAATCCGTAGACGCTTAAGAGTAAGCTAAAGCACTGTACAAGTGCTGTTGTCGCAGACTGCACACACCAAACGTAGCTGTACGATGTGATCATGAGGCTGAAGAAGGCTTCGGCGCCCTTCTGCTCGTCAAAGACCTCGAGCCTGGGAGGAAGCCAAGCCACATGCAGATGCAGTAAAAGCAGCTGGTTGGCGCCTTCTTGATGCTTGGGTGCATCTGATTATGTGCGGCCTTGTTCCCGAACTTGCGTTTCATGTGGGGTGGGGCTGCCCCGTTGAAAGTTGAAAGAAGAGAGGCGCAGTTCCGTGACATGATTGCCACACCTGCATCAGTTGTCACATTCGCAGAAAACTGTGCCGATTTGTTGTAACGCAGCTGCCTCATGCACAATCGGTTATAAAAACAATATCACAATATCACAAAATACTGCTGCCTACTGAACCTGACCCCCTTGGCATTTGACAGAAATTAGGAAGATCCCGCTGGTCGCCAACACAAGGACTAGATACACGATTCTTTGCTGAAAAGACACGCTGCTGAATTCCTCATGCTACACTCTTGCAGGACCGCTGCGCTGCTCCTCCGGTACTGTTTTCTTACTACAAGAAGAATGGAGGGCCTGCTTTTGGATAGTAAAACTAGTGAGACCAAAGCTGAAGAGCCCGTAGCTTTTCAAGACCACTCCGCACGACCGAAACCACGGGTGTGGCGACGCGCTCCCACGCAGGAACCCGAAGCAGCTTCTGAGAACAGGTGGACTTGCTCTGAAGCCGCGCAGCACCACTGCATGAAGCAGCCCGCGGCGCGTACTTTCGTCTAAGGCCTGTCCACGCCAGGGCTGAGTTCACTGGCAAAGTTCTCATGGCAGCATTGGAAAGTCACTCGCCTGTACTCATCTAATCTTTCTATGGCTCTAGGCTGACAAATTGCATGCTGAGGTGTGGAGCAGCTTGAAATCATCGCACCGGCTGCACATGTCTGCTGGCCCCGCCTTCTTGAAGCCTTTAAGATTTGAGAGCTGCTTAATTGTACTTCTCGCGACGACGAAGGTCAGGCAAAAGGCGACCTCTGGCTGCCTGTTGGACGGCAGCTCAAGGAAATGGAAGAATCGCAACGCCCATAACATGAGACAAGCAGTCCTCGAACCCAGAAGAATGAAAATCGTGATCGCGTCCAGCAGCACGTCCAGCGCCATGAAACAAACTTTAATTCTCAGTGCATCGACGTCGAAACAGTGCTGCTGCTCCCACTGCACTTTGGTCAGCTTGGGCAGCTTGTGCTGCACTGCTTCGAAGCCGGTGTTTGCAAGCTGCCGAGAAAGTGTCGGCCCCGGCTCATTTCCATGGTAGGTGGCTGTTGCCGTATTGCCAGCAGCCACTCTGATACTTTCCAGCAGCAATGCTATGACGTATACAAGCAGACAAACGACCTGCAAGCAGAGAAGGCAAACGAAGATACTCTGTGCTGACACGCACCGCAGGCTTTCAGCCCAAGCGGTGTATTGCTTGGGCAGCAGGGGCAGTGCTTCTACGTCATCCGAGAGCGTCCTTGAAACCCAGACCTGCTCAATGATGGTCTCATTTATATCGTTCATCAAAGGGTTTTTCGGATACTTCTCGATGCCCCAAATATAGGTTAATGCTACCAGTCCTACGAGCACGAGCGAGCACAGCATGCTTGGCCAGCTGCGGCCCTGAGGTGTGGCGATTGCCAATGCTGGCACTTGGACCACCTGCAGCAAACCGTACTGGCAAGCTGCTGGATAGACAAAAACAGCAGCAAGTATGACAAGCCAGACGGGCCACCAAACAATGATCATGGCCATACCGCCTAAGAGGCTGCCGTTCACCACAACTTCCAGGGCTCTGAAGGCGAGCTTCCGGCCCTTGCCCTCTGTACGTGCCTTTGCAACCTGGATCCTGGCACCTTTGAGAAAGCTTGATGCCTCCGGCTCAGAGTCTTCTGTTGGCAAAGGCACGTGTTGGCCACGTTGGGCCGACTCCACGCAGGCCTCGACAGCCACGGCCAAGAAAGCCACGGCCAGCGCAGCTGCCGGGACCACGTAGGTCAGCGGTTCCCCGGCCGCCATGGACAGCTTTTCTAAAAAGCTCATGGAGTCAAGGGCGCAGGCGCGCGCGGCATCGGCACTAGTTGGGAGTTCCGGCACTTTGTGATGCGCGAGAAATCCTTTCGCAAGGATTACGTTGCATCCCACATGACGAAGCGAGGCTGCGAAGTCCTGCCAGGCGCTGTGCTTGCATGTGAACGGGAATACCACCGACATTGACATGCCTCATGACCTGACCTCACTCTTTCCAATTCAACTCAAAGCTGCTGCCCCCTCCTCCAGGACCCTACTTGCAAATGTAGACACAGCCAATAAACACGCCCGCACGTGCTCGCTGGGTCCTCTACATTCAGCAGGTGAACCTCCCTTCTAGAGAGACCGGAGGCCACACCAATTCCAACAGACGCGCACGCTAAGCCAGCACTCCTGTCTGCCTCCGTGGCAAAGTCAGGAAATTTCAGGCTCTAGCCCCAACACGACCCAACAGCATGGAAGGAAGGTCTTCAATTGTAATTGTAAACCTCGGACCGCAGAACTCCGCTTTCCTACACAGCACCAGCACCCGCAAGACCTGAAGTAGAAAGCTCCTCTACCGCTTAACGGTGTTAACCGCCACTTAGTGAGCTGCGGCGGAGGTCCTCGGCAGTGATGCCGTCACCTGCATGCACCAAGATCTGCAACACACTCTTATACCTTACCCCAACGTGGCCGGACAGCACGGCGGGTCTCGCGTTGGAAATGTAAAGTTCGGGGCGTAGAAGACAGTACAGCACATATCCGACAACAAAGAGGCACAACAACAAACGAGCCGCTGTTTTCAAGCCATTGACAATCTGATAATAACAGGTGCCTGCCTAGTGACAAAGATTCCCAGGCCACAAACACGTTAGTTGCTGTGGGGGAGTTCTGCTGACAACCTGCCTGTGTCTGAGACTGGTGCCTCTAAGACACCGAAACCCTCAATACGGTCCAGATCGTGGCCCCAACAAGTTTCTTCAGAGCTCAGCAACATCTCCTGCCGGCAGTGTGTTAATCCCGCGGCTGCGGGCTGACCCGAAAAGAAACAAACATCTTGCTTTGGGTACCTGGCCAGCACTTGGCCTTTTTTTTCTCACCGCAGCCATGATGATGGAGATTTGGAGCTACCCTTCTTTGAGAACCCTAGCACCTTCAACCCACAGTAGCCCCATAGCCCCAACGTCAGAACTCTAAGAGTCAGAACTCTCAGCTGGGGTACTGGAAGCGTTCAGCAGAATCTGGACCGTCTTCTCGTGGCCCTCCTCGGCAGCCCGCCACAGCGGTGTGTAGCCGGACTTGTCCTGCCCAACGGGGGCTCGGCTTCGGGGCCCTTCCCTCGCCCTTGGACTTCGGTGCCGGGGGGCTTGTGATGGCGTTTAGCGTGTATGGCGTCAGGTGGCCTGGGGCTTATGTAAGGCCTAGACGCTAGGCCCTAACCCGCTAGCTAGGGTTGAATACCGGATTAGGGTTTCGGCTTTAGGGATTTGCTGCAGTGCAGGGGGTTTTGATGCTTGTCCACGCATTTCCGACCCTTAAACCACGAATTTCATGAAGGTTTGAATTATACTGGGATGGAGAGCCGAGGGTTTCGGCTTTCGGGTCTGGGGCTTAGGCTTTAGGTTTCAGTGTTTAGGGTGTAGGATGGTTTGGGGATGCTTGGGTTCCAAAGGCCACGATTCTTCGACTCGACAGAGACCCACCGCCTTCCAACCTCAGCGAATGTACGGCCAAGATGCTGGAACTAGAAATTTCGACCCTGCCACTGCACCATGTCTTGCCCAAAACCTCCCCTCAAAACTGACAGGAAACCAGACCGATCCCGAAAGACACGCGGCCT